TCTGCAGAAGGTCGATTTCCCGCTGCTTGGCGGTGAGGACGGCCAGGGCGTGCTCATGCTCAGCCTGCAGCTGCTGCCGGCGCTCGGCGGCCTCTCGCATGTGCTGTGGGGACAGAAGAGCGCTCAGCCAGCAGCTGGGCAGCCGGGCGGCAGGCGAGCGCTGACTCAGCCGAGCTCAGACACCGCCCCCCGACAGCAGCCTTCTGCCTCCCCCGGGCTCCTCCCAGGCAGGCAGAGCGGCGGGACCCTGCTGCCGCCGGCCTCCCGCAGCCCGCTTGTTCCTGTCACCCTGCAGGTGCGGTCGGCGCTGGAGCGGAGCTGGGACTCAGGCAAAGGCCACTTCCCTTTTTCTCATTCAGAAGACATAACCTCTCGCTTTTTTTTTCCAGGTCATTTACAAATCAGTGAGCATTTACCGACGATTTCCTATCACGTGGGTACTGTAATTAAGTCTTATTGCCCCAGTTACGGTGGAGTCCACCCTGTGCGTGTTGAAGGAGAACTGTGTCCCAGGGCTTTCGGTGGCAGGTCACCACGCCTTCCTCCTGAGGTGCCCCTGAGTGCGCTTGAACTTCCCACCTGCCCATGAGCAGAGAAGACTGCTCACAGTCTGTCCCACCAGGGACCTGTGATGACCACTGACAGCTCTAACCTGCGAGCCCCAACCAAGGAGAGGCATGAGAAATGACACCAAGCAGGAAGGGGCATGACTCGGGCCTGGGTTGCCATGCAGTTACAGCTAAGACGTTGTCAGGTGCCCTGCCAGCCACCCAAAGGGCACAGACCCTGCCCGCCTGTCACCTGCCATCTGATACATCACTGGAGCTGGGACACCCTCGGCCTCACTGGGGGTGGAGCAACCTAGCGTGGGCTCACCAGGCTTATTTTTTATTAAATATAAAGCTATAAGGTATGACGTGTAACACTTGGAAGGGTACATGATTTATATACACGTGGAACCCTGGTGGCACAGTGGTTAAGTGCCCAGCTGCTGACTAAAAGGTGAGCAGGTCAAACACGCGGCAGCTCCGTGGGGGAAGGTGCGGCAGCTGGCTCCCGCAGAGATGACAACAGCCTTGGACGCCCTAGAGGGCAGTTCCACCCTGTCCTCCAGGGTCACGACAAGTCAGAACCGGCTGGATGCAGCAGGTTTAGTGATCACTACACAAACACACGCGTGTTTGTGTGTGTGTGTACACGTTCTGAGTACCTCTGCCACCTGTCCGTTTGTCTTGCTGTGAGGGCTCGTGTCTTGCCCTGATGTTGGAAGCCATGCCACCAAGTTTCAAACACCAGCAGGTCACCCACAGTGGGCAGGTGTCAGCACGCCTCCAGACTAAGTCTAGGAAGGAAGGCCTGGCCGTCCACCTGCAAACACCAGCCAGTGAAAACCCCATGGAGCCCACAATATTGGCCTAGACATTGACTCGCTACCTGTGGGCTTGTCCCATCAGGGGGAGTGACCGCTGGAGAAGGCCTCAGGTCTGGTCACACAGAGAGTCAGCAGACATGAACGAGACCCTGCCTGAGGTAGATCACACAGTGACCCCAACAGTGGACTCAAACGCACCGACATGAAGGTGATGCAGGCCTAGGCAGCATTTCATTCCGTTGTTCATACGGTCACCGTGCATGGGAGCCAACGTAACAGCAACCAACAACAACATCCCTGTGTGTGTGTGCACATGTGCGTGTGTGCGTGTGTGTGTGTGCATGCATGATGCTGCTACCTTCAGCAGGAAAGTCTACCCAGAAGAGCAAGGGGGCCTGGGAGGGAAGGAGAGAGGGGTGAGAGAGACTGGGCGGGGTCCAGGTGGCGGAGGGGCATGGGAAAAGTCAGAAGGACCCACGGTGGCAGGTCACACTTCTGCTGGTGTTTGGCCCACCTCCCGCACCCTTGGCCACAGGAAGCTCCGTCCCTCTGAGAAGTCTCCTGGAGCCTAACACGGGCAGTGGCAGGGCCACTTGTCATGGGGCAGGCAAAGCTTGGTCAGTGGGCTGATCCTCTTGTTTGCATCTGAGGAAGCCTGGTCCCCCTGCTGCCCACCGTCTTCAAATACTAAGTGGAATACCTGAGCACCCCTTTGCTGTCTCTGTGAGGGTCGGCCAACCCTGAGCTTAAGTACCCTGCACCCAGCAGGTAAGGGGATACTTCACATAAAACCCACAACATCTGTGATCCCGGGAAACGGAACCTGAGGGAGCAGAGCCGGTAAGATCCCAGGAAACAGAACTCGGGTGAGCAGGACCGTAAGATCCCAGGACACGAAATGCAAGTGAGCAAAGCCCCTGACATCCAGGGAAACAGAACCGAGGGGAGCAGAGCGCCACGAGCCGAGCCGCGTGCCCACCACAGGGACGTGCTCTGGGTCCGGCGAACAGGGCAGACGGACAGAACCACACATCTCTCGTCTCTGTGCCGAGCCGCGTGCCCACCACAGGGACGTGCTCTGGGTCCGGCGAACAGGGCAGACGGACAGAACCACACATCCCTCGTCTCTGTGCCAGCTCCGACCCTCCTGGCAGCAAAGCTGGGCCCTCCCACGAAGCCTCCTAAGAGCCAGCCTTGACAGGGCTTTTACCGACCCCGCAGAGCTGTGGTGACCAATTGGGTCCAGTCACTTCTCATGATTAGTCTCAATTCCTGGAGACCTTCTTCCAGAAATCAGCCACTATATCAGATGCCATGGAGAGAGTTCTCTGACACACATGGGGTTGCTGGGAGTCAGTAACACCACGGCAACTGCCTTGGCTTTCAGTAATTACCAAGTACCCCAGAAAGCTGTCAGAACTCTACATGCGATGGAACCACACCTGGCTTCTACCCAGTGCTCTGAGTTACTTGTGACCACAGCACAACACCTGTCCCACTGAGCTGGTCTGAGTGTGACACCACTCTGTGGTGAGGGTCAGGAAGCAGAACTTGTGATGTGACCAGGGAGCTAGCCACAGACGGTGAGTGCCACTGACAGTAATGACGCTAAGATGGTGCTATGTGGGGGACAGTGGCCCCTCTCTACCAGGCCTCCGCCAGCAGACTCCCTGGGTGGCGCGAACAGGCACACTCTTGGCTGTTCACCGACAGGGTGGGGCTCAAGTCCATCCAGAGGAGCCGCGGAAGAAGGGCCTGGCAACCTCCTTCTGAGCAGTCGGCCGCGGGAGCCCCCGCAGCGCGGTTCTGCTCTGACACACAGGGCCGTCAGCGGTGGAGCTCGCCGGCCAGCAGCCTGTCTGGGTGTGAGGTGCCGCCCCAAGCCCACGCACTAACTGATTCATTGCCGGCTGTGTGCTGCGGTCACTATTGTACAAATACGGCAGGAGGCTTGGAGCAAAGCCCCTGGCTTCAGGCCACATGCCTGGAGCAGAGGCAGGGCACCACCCCAGGTGCCGAACCTCAAGCCAGCGTGCCCCTAACCACTGCCCCGTTTCTGGGGCCAGACAACGTGCACATAGCCAGCACCCAAGGCAGACAAGGCTTTAAGACGGCCAAGCAGCCAACCTGGCTGGACAATTAGGCAGCTGCTTAATTACACTATTGTTCCAGCTAATTTCTGTGCTTCTGTTTAGTTTGGAAGCAGGCACCGCCTCAAGCAGCCTGTGTAATCTTTATTTAGCGTTGGGAAGGAAGGAAGTTATTAGCGAGAGGAGGGAATCATCTTCCCTCAAGAATTCATTTGGAACGTTAACCCAATATGGAAATGGCTCCAGACGTGCTGCCAGGAGCTTGGGGGTCGGGGAGGAGACCAGCTCGTGCATAAAGGGGCAATGGACAGACAGACACCTCTGTGCATCTCTGTGCAGAGGCTAACGAAGATGAGTGTGGACGCATCAGCTGGGTTGAGACTATAATGATGAAAATGACTTGGAAATTTCTCAGACTAATGAACCGTGCACCATGACAATACACCAGAAACCAAGCCTGGTGCCTTGGACTCAACTCAGACTCCCAGCAACCCGTGTGCGTCCCAGGAGAACTGCTCCCCACTGGGTTTTGAAGGGCCGTGACCTTTGGGAAGCAGACTGCCAGCTCTCTCTTCCGTGGCACCACTGGGTGCGTTCAAGCTGCCAGCCTTTGAAGTTAGTTGTCAAGCTCAAACCATTTGTGCCAGGAGGAACTGATCAGAAATGGCCACTCCTCCGAGGAGATGGTCTTCCAAGTGGATTACGGTGCATGCAGCAGTCAGGAGGACACAGACACCGGGGGACAAGTTCCTTCTTTTTCTCAGCTTCAATGTCCATCTCTCCCCACGTCCCCTGTCCCCTCCAAGCCCACAGGCACCCCCACCAGCTCCTGCTCTGGCCCGCTGCTTCCCTTCTCAGGACCTCTCTGCTCCCTCCCCTCTTGACTCCAGCGTCTCAATCCAGCCTCCCCTTCTCATTCGCTGAAATCCCCGTGAACGGACCAAGGACCTCTCCATTGCCCAGCCCAGTGGCCACTTCTCTCCTTCCGTTCAGCCAACCTGCCCTCAGAACTTGGCACAAGGACCTCTCGCACGCCCCTCCCCCAGCCGCTCCTCTGGCCTCAGCCCTCACTCCTTGTCCAGCTCCCCATTCCTGCCTGATCACCGGAAGCCGGGAGCTCTGACTGCTTCGTTCATAGCCCCTTCTAAGGGCTCTTCTCTGCTGTTGATTGCCTCCCTATACTCATGATTCCAGATTAAATACCGATCCCTGCACTCCTGCCACCACCTGTCTGCCAGGGTGTCCTACTGGAATGGCTGGCGTGTGGCTGGGGTGCTGGAAGCTACGTTTTCAGTGTTTCAGGTACCAGCAAGGTCACCATGGTGGATAGGTCTCAGCAGAGCTTCCTACAACAGACTAGGAAGAAAGACCTGACAGTCTACTTCCAGGAATCAGACAGTGGAGCCCAACGGCTCACAGCAGAACATCATCAGGAAGGATCCCTCTCTGGGTGGCGAAGCGGAGTGCCAGGGAGGGCGAGAGAGCCCTTCGGTGAGATGCACCGGCGCAGCAGCCACGGCGGTGGCCTTGAAGACGCCAGCAATGCCCAGGATGCCGCCGGAGCACGCACCGTCCCACGCTGCTGCACATGCATCACCCACTGGCACCCATCCATCCGTCTGTGCGTCTGTCATCCTCCACCCGTCCATCTTTCATCTACCCATCCTCCTTCTCTCTACCTACCATCTTCCATCCATCTGTGGTAGTTAAGGTTGTGTGCCAACTTGGCTGGGCCTGGTTGAGTGGCTGGGCAGCTTGTGGTAGTTATTCCCTATGATGAGACTGGCAATCAGCTCCATGGTGGGATCTACCACAAGCAGCAGAGTAGCTGCTTTAGGGAT